TGTCTTAGGTGTTATTTTCAAAGAAGCAGACTAGTGTATATGTTTGTGTATAAACCTACATGCTCTCTTTATAAAGTATAATATTCTTAAGTATAATAGATTAAATAGATAATGAATTCGTGAGCCATCTAAAACTAAATTAAAATCTGGCCACTCGGTTAATTTTTTAAAAAAAATGAAGAAAAAAATTCGAACAGCATCAAATATAAGGTTTTAAAACTTAATGAAGTTACACAATCTGACGTAAATTTTAATTATTGAAAGAGAATGTGTCAACGTATTAATAATGGTAAATCAGTCCCACATAAGCCAGTTTTTTCTATATCGCAGATTTCAAGCTGAAAAATAATTAGCTGTTAACGTTACGTGATTACGTTTAATTTGTTAGTTTAAAGGTGTACCGCATAGAAAACGAATACTAAAATTGCTTATTTAACTATTCTAATAAACACACACATTCATTAGATATTCCAAGCAAAGAATTCATTAGGCGAAATACGGTAGTTAACTACCTAAAATTGAAATGTAATTTGTGAATTAAGGCGGAGATTTGAGGTGAAATTAATTTAGTTGAGGTGAAATTAATTTAGTTTAACAAATAAACATTAAAGCTGTTGGAGTTCGGGAAGCGTAACTGTCGCTCTAATTCTCAATGACTTTCCTAAGAGTAAATTTTATCACTAACATCGTATTGGTATTCTGTCAGTGATGATAAATTATTCATTTGCTCTGGTACAAAATTTATCCCGATCCTCTACTCTTTATGCATCTTTAGTATTCACTGTAAATTATAAAATTAATGTAGTGTGCAAACCATAATTGTCTTTTTACAAGGACGAGACATTTTTTTAGTAACAGTAGCATTAAAATAACAAAGAATATACTTTAAATAAAACTTTTAAAATAATTTAGCATTAAGCAGAATTTGAGACAAATGTGGGTTACACAATCCAAGGTGCTTTAGTACGCATTTTACATAGTATTTTTTTGCCTTTGCGTCTGACATAGCTTCTAGCACGGATTTTTTGTAACCTAGGGAACTTATTGCAATTTTTTCTTCTTTTGAATTGATTTTGGGGGATTAGCATATTTTTTCTCAATATTTTCAAACTCAATATTTTATAAATATTTTCTTAATTCTAGCATTTCTCCAGTATCACGGGAAGTTCTTTAGGTGCAAACGATCATCAGGATCTCAAAATCTTCTTGCAAATATACCGCATAGCATAGATTCTATAAGATGTTGGTGGGTGGTAGGAGGAATTTCCGATGAACTGCATTTTTCTGTTCCGTCAGTTTGGATGGCACTGGACCTCATCCCACAAACTCCCAATTGGATTGTGATCTGGTGAATGTGCGGGCCAACGGAGCGAGATTAAGTCCCCGTCGAACAAGCATAATAAGTTCATCGAACCATCTGACGACAATACGAGCTGTATGATAAGGAGCATTGCTTGCTGAAATAATCCATTCCCGGCAGGGTACACTATTTACATAACAAGATGTACTTGATCAGCGATAACACTTAAATATGCTTGGACATTCATACATTGTTCCTCAGGAATCAAAGGACCCATACAAAGGCATGAAAAACATCCCCCTAACCATAACATTGCCAACACCAGCTTGAAGCTTTGTGGCAATGCAGTTATGGTCTGTGCTTTCCTGCTGTTTTCCCCATATCCGAACCCTGCTATCTGCATGGTGTGATTGAAAACGCAATTCATTAGACCACATGAACCTTTTTTCAGTCATCTTCTGTCCAATCCAGTATACTCACCATCACAGTTTGCACATCTAACTGGCTCTCTTTATTTATTACACTTATAGGGCCCCTTGCCTCTATAATTTTCTATAGTAATTTTCGAGCCGCGATGGCTCACGGGATAGAGCGTTAGACTTCCAATGAGGTGAACCGGGTTCGAATCCCAGCGATGGTTGGTAGATGCGAATTCCGCATCCGGCTTGCACCGACCACAGAGTGGAAGTAAAAATATCCTCAGTGGCAGACGGATCACTCCACGAAGACAAATTTCTCCCAATACTCGACCCAGGAGTTCCCTTGTCTTCTGGATTGGGTTCAAAATTAAAAGGCTACGTAGGTAAACATTAGAAGTCGTAAACCTAAAAATTAGGTCGACTGGTATAATATAGTAATTTTTATTTCATCTAAAAATTTTATTTGATATACCTACTTGTTCTGTTCGTTCTTTTTAAGAGTGACTAAGTAAAGGGGGATGTTAACCCTTTCTTTTTATACTCGTTTAGTCAGTTGGATCTCTGATGAGAGCTATATTTATGTCTTCTGTTGAGGTTTCTTTCCTTAATCCTCGTATTACGATTTTCATCATCTTCTCTTCGGGAAGGAGGAATGTGTGATAGTTGATCTCTATATAAGCTTCTTTCTTTTTTAGATTTTTCAAATCTTTGATAATTTCTCTATATGTTGTTTCTGATTTTGGTTTAATTGTTCGCCTATTTCCGATATTTTTGCCTACGAAGTCCGGAATGTTTTCTTTCATCCTTTCTACAAACGGTTTCCAATCGAAGTCCTTGTCAAAAACTACCTACTATTGATGGAATTTTACTATGCTTTTTTTGGAACAGTAAATTGTTCCTCTTTCTTGTTTCCGATTTCTGTGCTTTCGTGGTTTTCACCATCAGAAACCTCTGAATCATCAGTCATGTTTACTTTCATTCTTTTGTTGTTAGCACTGGGGGTGGTGGAAAATCCTACTTCCATTTCTTTATATCCTCTTGGTTTTTATTTTCCAAAACTTGAAATTTATTGTTATGAACAAAGTTTAATTTTATTGATTGAGCTGTGTTCTATCGATTTCGCGAATAGGGAAGAGGGAGCATCCTTATTTGTTATGATTTTTATATCTTTGGGCCTTTGGGTCCCCATCATAAGGATTTTATCATTTAGAGTTTTTATGGTTCACTTGCCTTGCATTCCCTTTTCGCAGCTATCTCGCCCTCTAGCAGCAATATTATGGAACAGAAGCTCATTTTGCATAAAACTATAAGTGGTCATAATAATTTGGCAACTCAGTGTATATTTCAGTAAAGAAAATTTCAGCGGCTACATTTCACTAAAAAACTTTCTTAAAATTACCTGGCTTATTTAATCTTAACGTTTAGAAAGCACTGCTTTTTTATTATATAGGCATTTTGAATTTCATTACATTATTAATTTTTAAGCAACAAATTTCTAACTCTTGAATTGTATTAAGGATGGTATTTTTTTAGCCCTGTTTTAATTTAGTCAATATGTTCTAGTTTATTAATAAAACATATCACCAAAAGAATATTTTAAAATAATATTTAAAACCTCTCTTTTTCAGACATTACCCATTTTGAAATTAAGACCTTTAGAAAAGAATACTTTCAGAAAAAACTTTAATAAATTAATGCAAATCATAGTAATCATACTCTTAGTTATCTGCTAAAGATTTGAAATCAGCACTGTGAATTATGGTTAGGGAAAGCGTTTTATTATTGTATCTAACTAACAGAAACAATTAAATATATATTGATAAAATCTAACATTTCCCCTGAGGGGGTTTATCTTCTTTAGGTAAACACAGGGAGTCACGCCCCGGAGTACCCTAACGATCTGTCCTCCCTTCTGTTTCTTTTCCCTTTTCTCCTCCCCCTTGTCGTGGTTGCCACATTAACTGGTGAGGGCTTTTTATCTGTGTTCGATTACCACCCTGTTGTATCGGACCCAGATGGGAAGAGACCACCCGCGTGTTTGCCGTGCGTGGAGACCCGTGTCCCTGGAAGAGGGGATCCTGGCAGTTGAAGGGCATCCTGTTACCCCAATACACTGCTTTGGCCCGTGCTTCAGGTAAACGGGAGGGGCATATTGGCCTGTATGCATCAACCGGCTAGTTACGACCGTCATCTGTTGGCTAGGGTTCAGTCCAGGGTCACTTACTAGGCACCTCGTTAAGGGTGGAGGCTGCTTCAAGGGTGACTCGCGAACGTATATTGGTTAGCATCGGTGTCAAGTGACGAATTATGTTACTTGCATCCCCTTAGTAGGACTCCGTGGTGGGTGATGCCGCTGGTAGTAGTTATGTTGTTATTTTCTATGGCTGAAGATAGCACGGTGTTGAGTTCCGCACACCAATGCAAAAACAGCAGCACATTCTTAGCATCATGTGATTACGCTCGTTACTTTTTGATGACCCTTGAAAACCCAAACGTACCCAATACTTCATTTATACACAAAGCTCTTCTTTCCATTCTGGGAGAAGTTGCCTCAGTAAAAAAAGCTACGCTCTGGTGACCTCTTAGTTGAAGTCTCCTCTGCAAAACAGGCAACTATTTTATCAACATGCACCACCATGTGTTCATTTAATATGACACTAACACCTCATAGATCCTTAAATACCTCTCGTGGCGTCATATCAGAAATAGAATTCATAAATGACACAGAAGACATGATATTAAATAACCTTCAATCTCAAAACGTTACGTCTGTTAGAAGGATTAAGATTCGCAGGGATGGAAAACTCATCCCTACGAAGCACCTTATCCTCAGTTTTGCGTCTGCTATATTACCAGCTGGAATTAAAATGGCTTGAATTAACTGTCCGGTTCGACCTTATATCCCAAATCCTTTGCGTTTTTACCAATGTCAAAGGTTTTAGCTTTCAAAAACATCTTGCCGAGGTGGGCCGGTGTGTGCCCGTTGCTCCAGTACAGACCATGAAGACACTTCTTGCGAGCTGCCACCTCTTTGCATCAACTGCAAGGGTGATCACGCAGCTTACACCAGAAGTTGTCCGAAATGGTCACTAGAAAAGGAAATCCAGTCAATTAAAGTGTTACAAAACTTAACTTTTAACGAAGCCAGCAGAATAGTTAATAGTAACTAAAACTTCATATTGCACAGTAAGTACGCAGACAGATTCCTCAATATCATCTTCCCCACAACAAACAAAACAAAATCCACAATTTAATTTTACCGGACTATCTACTTCTCGCAGACCTGTATCCAAATCTCAACCTCCAAAAACATCTGGAATGACATCCCCAGAAAAGTCTGGTCCTGCCTTAAAGCAGCGTCCAAATATAAAGTTACCACCTAGCCTAAAACCAGGTATTCCTAAAAAGTATTAAGATCCAAAATTTATACAAATCGTTAAAAAGTCCACTTCAGATATCTTGCAGAAGATGGACACAGAAATAACACTACATCTATCGGATGACGAATCGATTTTCGACGACCCACCGATGGATGTTACGTCTAAATCAAAATTTAAATCCAAAAGATAATGGGAAGTTTCATTATCTCTTGGAATAGTCGCAAAATAAAATCTCAGACATCAGATATATAATTTTTAAATATCAGCCATCATGTTTTTCAATCCAAGAAACTCATTCATTGCCGAAACGACCATGACGCAGGTAGTAGACCTAATGGTGGTGTCGCAATTTTAACATCAACAAGCTTTCCATCAATTCGTCTTTCATTGTCAACGTCATTACAGGCTATTGCAGTTAAGATTCATATAAACATTACGATTACAGTCTGTTCTATTTATATACCTCCGCATACATTAGTTTCACACCATGATTTAAACTCATTAATTCATCAGCTGCATACGCCTTTCATTTTGCTTGGGGACTTTAATGGTCACAGCGAACTATGGGGTAGTTCCGACCCAAATGTTCGAGGGCATCAAGTTGCAATGCTCATCCATGATCATAATCTATGTTTACTGAATCAAGGTGAAGACACTCACTTTCATGAACCAATACGAACTTTTCATTTCATTGATCTTGCTTTATGTTCACCTGCGCTTTTACCCTTTTCCAGAATTTTCGGTTGATTTTCATAATAGCTATCATTTCCCAATCATTGTTTCATATACTGAATCTATCACTACAAGACCCTCTACATTTATTTACCATTGATTATTACAGATTGGAGACTTTTCGCACAGATGAGAATGGTATCAGATGAAAATCTTTAAGCTGCTGTTGAAACGGTAACTTCTGTGATCATCAATGCTGCACAAAGTAGCATACCAAAAACATCAACTTCTCGTCCCCGGCATAGCAAGCCATGGTGGACAGCTGAATGCTCCGCAGCTCACAAAGAGAAGAACAGGCTATGGAACATCTTCTGTCACTATCCTACATTAGACCATCTTATCGATTTCAAACGAGCTAAAGCGATTGCACGCAGGATTCGGCGCCAAAGCCAGAGAGAATCGTGGTCACGCTATGTTTCATCCATCACATCTACAACATCTCCCAGACAAGTCTGGTCGAGGGTCAAGAGAGCGAATCGTGTCTACCGTGAATTCCATCTTCCGGTATTTGATATAAACGGTATCACACACTCTGACCCCGTAGGTGTGAATAACATCTTGGGTGAAACGTTTGCTGGTGTATTTAGCACTGACAGTTACAGCTCAGCTTTCCAAGCTCACAAGCGTAGAGTTGAAGCCCAGACGCTGTAGTTTGCGACTCGACGGCAATTTCAGTATAATTATAACTTCACTTATCATGAATTGCAGCGAGCGCTGTCAAAAGCACCCAATACGAGCCCCGGCCTTGATGGTGTATCATATCACATGCTACGCTATTTGATTTCTGCATCTTTGCAGAATATCCTGTTACTTTTTAACAGATTATGGACGGAGCAGATATTCGCACCTAAAGCGCCGTGATACGGTACATCACACTGCATTACGCAATTGTAGAGGTGCATTTCGCACTTCACCAGTGGAAAGCTTGTATGCTGTTTGGCATCATTAGATCTACGCAGAATGCAATTGTCACTACTACCGTATCATGTCTTCTGCCTCACACGCTTTACAGCGAGAGGTTACTCCGTTAAATTTAATGCGCCTATATGATGCTCGATCTTCTCATGCTCACCCTTTTATAGCTCCTATGCGTTCACACATTCAAACAGTTGCTATTTTAGATTCACCATCACAGTCGATAGACCACCTACTTATTTCACCCTGGACTGTTTCACCATATTATTTTTATCCTTTATTTGATGCATCCAACAAATCACTTGTATCACCAACCATATTTCAACCACTTTTCCTTTCTCATCGTTAGTTCTCTCATTATGCCCCGATGTATATAGATGGTTCAAAATCTGCTGGGTATGTTGGCTGTGGTGTTATCATTGCTGATACCATGTACAACTACCAAATTCCTGAAATTTGCTCCGTCTTCACTGCTGTAGCTGTTGCTATTTTATTAGCATTACGACTAATTTCTACACGCTCTACTTGGAAGTATTGTACATACTCCGATAGTATGAGCCAATTAGAAAAGTTTCACTGTGATACTCATCCTATTTTATGTTTTATTATTCATTTGCTAACTACTCTTCAGAAGAAGAGATTTTGTTTTGCTAGGTACCAATGGTATGTTGGTATTTCTAGGAATGACCTAGCCGACGCAGCTGCACGATCTGTCTTAACATTGTCCTTACCTTTCCGTGACATGAAACTACATGTTCGAAAAACTGTAAAATCATTATGGCAACAACAATGGGACCTCAAAAGTTTTTAATAAACTGCATAGCATTAAATCTGATTTGGACCATTTGCCATTACTGCTCTTGGGTTCCATTCTTTTGTATATTTTTCTATTAAGAAATTACTCTTTTTTTATTTTTTAATCACTCATATCAATGTTGTAGTTACGTATGAAAAATTTCGTTTCATTCTGACGACTCTTTCTATGTGCAACGCTTTTTACGGCAATTTCTTAATTATTTGTAGCTTTATAACTCAACTCATTGCCATAAATAACTATATGGTGACGAGTACCCATGAAGTTAAAAAGCTGCAAATAATTTTACAAAAATTCAGACAATTTTTAAATTTTCTTTTAACACTTAGCATTGTCTAATGAGAAAGCCTGAAATACTAGTTGAGATGTTCAAAGGAAATTTAAATAGTTCAAATGTAATTTTACACCTAATTGCTTAGGTTTAATTTTGGAGGATTGTAAATTTTGTTCTTGAGGTCAAGGATGTTGTAACTGTAGAACACAATAGTAATTGTATTTTATATTCACGACAAAGAGAAAGCTTAGAAAAGGAACTTAGGCACTCGGGTATTTCTTGATCTTCTGCTTTGTCCTTGTTTGCTAAATGCACTGAAAACCTAAATGTTTCACGTAATTTTGCTTACAACCTAAATTTTTAATTTTGATCTGTTTCCTTTAATTTAAAATTTTACTCAGCCTACTTACATCTGTAAGCCTCGTGTTATGCTTTGAGAAACATCAGGAGTTGTGCAATAAAGTTAAGCTAAAGAAATTTAATTTAAGTTTTTGAAACATCATTCATAATTGAAAATATGAATGGTATTTTTTTTCTTTGTAGGAAAATAATTTCAAGCGTTACGTACGCTCTGTGTGGGGCATCTCAGACAGGCAAATTAAATTTGCTTTGAATTTTATTCATATCTTTTTGATGCCCGATCGAAGACTGAGATGGAATGCTGGAAGAGCAACTGACCACTGCTTCCTTGAGGATGGTAGTCAGATCGGAGCAGGCCCTCATAAAAAAAGGGGCATTTTTTGTAGACATGATTGTGAAGAAAGTCATGAGAGTAATGTGAATAGGAATCGAGATATAAAACGCCTTGCTGATGGAAGTTTGAAGGTACTGCTTCCGAAAAAAGCCAACACCTTTTTTTTTGGAAGAAGCAACTGAAAAACAACAACGAAATAAATGTGAGAATTGCAGGAGTACTAAGGTATGGATAGAAAAAGTCGAGGACCAAAATGAGAAATTTGAGATGTTAAAACGCAAAAATACGGCATTGGAACAAGAGGTTCGAGAATTAGATGTGCATGTGGAAATTGACTCGAAAGTTGAGAAAAAGAAAACGCCTGTCTTGAAAAAGACAACAATATCTAAGAGTACACAAGCTTCAAATAGTTTGAATGCAATAGAAATTGAGGATCCTTTATCTGAGAACATTACAACTAATAGTAACACTAGTCGAGGAGATAAATTTATGAATTGGTTACGAACAAAGCTAATTGCTTGCAAAAATAAAATAATTCGATTCAATTTTAAATAGTTTGAATTTAAAACAAAAACAGATCACACAACTGAGTTGTCTTGACTTCCATACACTGTGACTTAAATCAACTCTATGTTAAACAGATCTCATCTTAGAAATCAGATAGAGATGTCACCAAAATAATTCCCGAAAGAAGGTTCTTGCTACTAAATAAAAAAAAACAAATGTAAAAAAGAACCAAAAAATTACAATACGCAATAAAAGCACTAAAGAGTTCTCAATGAATAACTGAACATTCTCCACCAGATGAAGTAAAAGGCATCGTGTACCTTAAATCGAATAAGATATCAGAAAGAGATTTCACCAAAATAATCTCTAATGGAAAGTTCTTGCTAAATCGAAAAAAATTTCAAAATGAAACAATATACTGTGTGTTAATCAAAGAGCGAAAGAGTCCTTAAAGAACAACTGACCTGTTTCGAACAGATGAATCGAAACGCCTCGTAAACCTTCAATCATAAGTACAATCAAAGATGAATTTGTTTAACAATATTACAGACCTTTCAACTGCTAGAATGACTGCGTATACTCTAGGATTGCTCATGATGCTCAGTAAAACCAAAAATGTATGCAGGGAGCTCATCCTCTTAATTTCTTAATGGTTTAGAGCAGGGATGGGCAAACTTTTTTGGTCGAGGGCCAAAAATCAAGAAAAAAAAATGTTTGGTGGCCAAATAAGATCTTCAAAATTTAAGCTAGCTAGATCATGTATTTTGGCAAGGTACCTGCCCGCGCAAGCGGGCACTAGACCTCTGATCTGTGTTATGCCCTAGGGCGACTGAGACTAATGACATTGGAAATAATGAGGACGGGAAAACTTGAGTACTACAGAGTGCTGAATTATATAAGCCCATGAAGTATTAAGAAATAGTGGTGGATAAAAATCTACTAAATTGAATTTATTAAACCAAGAATCACAATTAATAAACTACCACTTTAAAATGCATATTTGCTGTCCGGAGCAAGTTGGCATCTCTGAATCCGGAGCAGTTGGCATCTCTGAATACATTGCTTTTTTTTGCCACTAGAAAAACTAATTAGTGAAACTATCATAAATTCTTTCATAAATAGTTACAGGGTGTGAGTGTAGTAGCTAGACATCGGGATACAAAAATTATCAGTTTCAGAAAGATATCTGTTAATATCCCGACTGAAAAAAAAATCGGACTACCAACGGCTAAAAGAGCTCTCTAGGTATAAATGGGCTGATTTCACATGTTAGAAGTGGTGAAATGTACACTCCATTAAGTTTTCCTAAACGCATGANCTAACTATTTCCATCAATTTATGTTTTGTAGAACAAAAATAGAGAAAGTAAAAATGTCATCAGTACTTTGTTAAAAAAGGAAAAACAGAAATAATTTTAAACATAGTCGACAATAAAATGGATGTATATTGTTTATATTTGCCTCTGATCGGCAAATAAAAATTCTATCCGCTGGCCGGATAAAATCCTCCGGCGGGCCACAGTTGGCCCGCGGGCCGTAGTTTCCCCATCCCTGGTTTAGAGGAATATCCGCTGTAAAAACGTATCTCCTCCATTTTTACAAAAAAATAAAGTGTATAAACAACTTAAAACGTAATGTGATATCTTAAGATATGTTTTGCTGTTTAAAGATGGTTTGAACGTAGAATATCTGACCATTGTACTGTAATCACTTAAAAAAACTGAATAAATGTATTTTTATCGCTAAAGTTTGTTGTTTATGTACAAATATTTTAATTATTTAATTAATGCATATTAGCTTGAATTGTGCAATAAATACTATTTTCAAACTTGTTTTAAATTAGTCATTTAAGATTCGCCCGGCTCTAATATTGCTGTCAAGGTCCGTATAGAAGCAAACAAGATTAAATATTTTTTATTTAAAAAAAAAAAAAAATCTAGTTATTTTTAAAAAAATTTAAACCAGGCTTTTTTGTTGGTTTATTTAAATAAAAGATTAAATAGTATTCTAAGCACAAAATTAAAAGCAACTAAAGCATTAAAAACCATTTTCCAAATATTTTTTTTCAATTGTTGATATATATTTTCTATAAAGAATTCAAAATTTTTCCCTTTTGTCATATAAAGATAAGAATATGATAAAAAATGCAATTAAAGATTTTAAATACGCCTACTTCAATAACGTAAAGCCACCAAATAATATTAATTTAAAAAAATTAAATTATTTTAGGTATATTAATTGAAAAATTTGGTGGAAGAACAAGGTAAGTGACATTTTCAAAACAAAATAAAAGTTTTATCCGAACTATTTTATCACCAATTTATTAGAAAGCGGAACTAATAATTTTGTGCTTTAAATTTGTAATAAAAATCAATCAAGCATACTAAAAACTAATATGTTTTAGTTATTTTAAGATTAAAGTAAAGGCAAAAACAGTTTTGTTACGTTATACAGAGCCATATTGATGCAACCACTTTTTGTTATTTTCTCTGATTCATTAGTTCCCCTAAAAATTTCACTTACATGGTTATTCCAACAATCTCTTAATTCTGTTGGTGAATGCTTTTCAGTTTTGAGCTTTTTCGTAGCTCAGTACAGAGTTATTGATTCTTTATTCACCCCGTGTGAAGTGATTTAAATTTTAATCAGTGTTCTTGGTTTGACAATGTAGATACTTCACAAATTATCATTATAATTATCAGATACTTAAGTAATATTTAGAGATCATTACTTAATGATTTAAGGCAACGCTTCCTATAAGTTTGAAAAAAAAAACCTCGATTTCAAAAAAAGAATTAATTTGTTCATATAAGTCAGTCAAATTACAAGATATACAATTTTTGAATGTTCTTTAGGGATATAATTTTGCATGATTAAATACAAAATGAGACAGAAATCGGTGGAATAGATTTTGATAAATTTAAGTTTAACAATACGTCTTTTTTTAAATTTGATTTCTCAGAAAATGATTAATGATTGCTTAATATTTTTTTAATTAATATTATTAAAAAAATTTCGAATTTTAAGATACAAAATTTTTTAATTCATTTTAAACAACGCAAATTTATTTAGCAAAATATTAAATTTGAACAGTATTGGTTGAATAGTTCCTGAAAATCGAATTTTGAATGTGTATCTGACTTTTTTTAAATTCGATTTCTCGGAAATTTTTGCCTTATATCATATAACGTTACATTGCTTAAAATTATCTAAAACTTTGTATATCTAAACGATGTAAAACTTGTACCGAACCATTAAGATTGGGTATGTGAGTCCTCGTATGTGAAATTCTATGTTATGTGAGATCCTAGTTAGATCTTAGTACATGAAAATTATTATTACATCAAAAGTTATTAACGTTTTTTTTAACTACTTTGAACCCTGTACATCAACTGCTTCATTATTTTGCGCAATAAATATTAAGAAAAAAAATTTAACTTAAAGCTTAGCGCAAATATATTAATTACAGACATGTATATTTCCCACCTAAGTTAAAAAAAATATAAGGCAAATGATAAGGTAATTTGGAATACAAATATTCTAGAAAAATACATCTAGAAATCGTAATGATTTCCAATCACCAATCATCTCTTTTCCATTTATTTGAAAGTCCATATCTATATATATATTTCTCTTACACGGCGACAAAAGAAAGCCTCATTACAACTCCCCGAATGGCAAAGCTAGAAAACCGACCAATGATTGCCGCTAAAAATGTCACATGCCAAATTTAGCTGAGATGGCTCAACATATAACGCTTCTAAAAATCGGAAACTGAAATACAACAAAAAGCGCATGCTAGGCAAAAGAGAGTAGTCTTTGTCGATAGATCTCTATTTTAGTATTTTGTCGAAAGCGCTTTTTTTCACGAATTTATTTGACGATTTTTGATTTATATCACGAATTTATTTGTTTTACTAGAATTTATTTGTTTTTGTTTATGCAGATTTTTCCATTGCATTTCACTTATAGCCGAAATTTTAACCTTTTTAAAGAGATATCAGTTTTAGAAATTTTATCTTAAGATTTTTTACTATAGCACATTTCTAATAGGTTTAACGAATTACATGCCATTTATTTGAATTCAAATTTATTTTAATTACTTAGTATTTACTAAAATGATGTAATTTTTTTTTTAAAAAGTTGATATATGGATTTGAATGATTGTTTTGAATTCTTAGAATTTTGTGCATTTGCAATGCACCTAAGTTAGTAGCGAGCGAAGCAAACCATATAAGATTGCGTAGCGAGCGAAGCAAACCATATAAGATTGCGTAGCAATTTTGATTGATTGAATGTAGGGTTTAATGGCACAAAGTCCAAAGAAGGACATGCTGCGCCAAACAAACGGTTTTAAAATGAGGTAAATGTATAATAAAAAGTTTCCTCGTTAAAAGTCACACAGAATTTATAAAACTAGATACAACGTAACAGAGGTATTCAAAAGTGAGTAAAATCTGATAAAATGTAAATGTAGTGAAACATCATAAAACAGTTAGTTGCATTCAAAGCTGAATAAAATCAGGTAAAATTGTGAATAGGATAAAACAGTTATATACAGTATAAAATACCAATTGCGCGTAGAAACGCAAAAATGTTAGGATGATGAGAGTCACCTAACAAATCCTGCAGAGTTAAAATAGAACTACCAAAAAAGGTTAGACGATGACGGTTGAAACATGGGCAGATGATTAAAATATGATGAATAGTGAGTAAAACTTTACAGGTGTTGCATTGGGGAGGAGGTTCCCCAAATAACAAATATAAGTGTGTCAGCCGAGTGTGGCCGATTCGGAGACGATTTAATTTTACATCTGCATGCCGCAGACTCAATACAGGATAAGGGTTAAAATCTGTTTTTATTGAGTGCCACTTGTTATAAATTTTTAGATCCCATTGTTGTTGCCAAATAGATGTGATGAACTCTCGAATATAAGTTTTTGTGTCCGAGAAAGGTACAGATAGAGTTAAAACAGAGGTAGCAGATCGTGCAGCCGAATCAGCCAAGTCGTTCCCTGGAATACCGACGTGACTCGGTACCCAACAGAATAAAATATGAAATCTATTTTTGTGAAGGGTTATCAACAAGTGATTAATAAAACATAAAATCGGGTGAGTATCACTGTTAAAATTTTCCAACTGCCTCAAAACACTCATACTGTCGGAGTATATGCAATACTTCCTTGTAGAGCGAGTGGAAATCAGCCGCAGTGCCAAGAGGATGGCAGCAGCTTCGGCAGTAAAGACGGAGCAAATATTTGGGATTCTGTAGCTATCACCAGCTATAATGACGCCACAGCCCACATAACCCGCAGATTTTGATCCGTCAGTAAACACAGGCACATACTCTGAATATTGGTCACGATGAGAAATGAATAGTTGCTGGTAGATAATGGGTGCAACATTAGATTTATTATACATCATAAAGGGGGAATAAAATTGATATGGTATAATGTTCCATGGAGGTATTTAAGAGAATGAGATTCACTGATTGCGATGGTGATTTGCAAATGTCAAAAGTTTGAATGAGTAAACGCATGCGTGCATGAAATGGACGGATGTGAGAAGATCTAGCTGCATATAATCTCTCCAAGCTTGATGAAATTACATAATGCTTTAGTGGATGATATCTAGAGGACATGATACGAAAGTAATAACTGAGAGATAGCTTTATGCGATGTAAATCTAATGGTATTTGATTGCAGACAACGTATAAACTTTCAACGGGGGATGTACGAAAAGTTCCCGAACAAATGCGAAGAGCTGCATGGTGTACGGTATCTAAGATACGTAGATTGGAGGCGGTTGCAGAGCCATAAACGGCACATACATAGTCAAGCCGTGAAAGTATCAGCGCTTGATATATGCGTAGCAGGGCTGGGCGATCAGCTCCCCAAAATGTGTTACACAGTACACGCAAAATGTTCAGTTTCTGTTCGCATTGTTTACGTAATAGCCTGATATGAGGTATAAAAGTTAGCCTACTGTCGAAAATGACTCCTAAAAATTTCGTGTGTGGCACGACTGGTATATTAATGTTTCGAATGGAGATGTCAGGGTCATTATGAAGCGAGCGTTTACGGCAGAAATGGATACAGCAACTTTTAGATGGCGAAAGAGTGTGACCATTCTGATCACACCAGTCTAAGATCTTGTTCACAGCTAATTGCAGTTGTCGCTCGATGACTCTCATGTCGGATCCTGAACACGAGATGTGTAGATCATCGACATAGAGAGAGCCAGAGACAGTAGGGGGCAAGAAGTTTAAAACTGGTGAAATATGCATGATGAATAATGTGACACTTAAAACGCTGCCTTGTGGGACGCCTTCCGCTTGAACGTAAAGATCAGAAAATGTTGATCCAAGTTTAACACGAAAATAGCGCCTCAGCAAGAAATTTTTGATGAAAATTGGCAAATGACCCCGGAGTCCAATGTCAAACAGTGTCTGGAGAATTCCATAACGCCAAGTCCGATCATATGCTTTCTCAATATCAAAAAAGACAGAGACAAGATGATTCCGCCGGACAAAGGCGTTACGAATTCTGGATTCCAGTTCAATAATATTGTCTAAAGTTGACCGGCCCTTACGGAAGCCACTTTGAAAATCTGGTATGACACGCTTTTTTTCGATGTAATACACAAGTCGAGAGTTAACCATCCGCTCAAATGTTTTAACAAGGCAGCGGGTCAAGGCTATCGGGCGATAGTTGACTGGATCGTTAGCGTCTTGACCTGGTTTTAGAATAGGTATTACAATTGCTTCACGCCAGTCAGATGGGTACGTTTGTTCCGTCCATATTCTGTTGAATAGAACAAGGACATTTGACAAAGACGTCCGATCTAAGTGGCGGAGCATATGATATGTAATATCATCAAAACCAGGGCTTGTGTTTTTACTTCGATATAGGGCTCTCTGTAATTCGGCAAAACTAAAATCACTGTTATATTGGCAGAGACGACGCGATGCAAAGTTTATATTATTCCTTTCGACGGTCTGCTTATGGTGTTGAAATGCTGGGCTGTAACTCTCTGGACAAGAGACAGCAGCAAATGCATCACCAAGCATATTACAAACGTCTGCAGGAGAAGAATACATGGTATCGTTTTTCTTAAATATCGGAAGTCGAAATTCGCGATATATGCCATTAGCTCTCTTAACTCTCGACCAGACTTGTCTGGGAGATGTCGAAGATGTTATGGACGAGACATAACGACCAAGATTCTCTTTGACTTTTGCGTCTGATCTTTCGCGCTATAGCTTTTGCCCGTTTAAAGGCCAAAAGGTTAACAGTATTAGGATAACGGCGGAAGATGTTCCACAAGCGTCTCTGCTCTTTGTAAGCAGCTGCGCATTCTTCATTCCACCACGGCTTGCGGTGGCGAGGAAGCGAACTTGACGACTTAGGAATACTTTCTTCTGCCGCTTGGAGAATTACAGATGTTATATTATTAATAGCGGCACCTATAGTATTGCGAGTTATCATATCCTCCGTAATCTGAGCAAGCATTGTAAATAGAGGCCAGTTAGCGCGATGAAATATGAAAGTTGATGGTCGTGAACTCATGGGAACAGAAGTAAAATATGAAACAATGAGAGGAAAATGATCACTGTTGTGAAGATTATCACTCGCAGAAAAGTTTATAAAAGGTAAGATATCGGGTGAACATAATGCTAGATCAATGGAGTGAAAGGTTCGAGTAGGTGAATGAAAATAAGTTTCTTCGTCTTTATTAAGCAAACAGAGATTATGGTCGTGGATGAGTTGTTCAATTTTACGCCCCCGGTTATTGGAGGCGGAACTACCCCACAATTCACTATGACCATTAAAATCTCCGAGCAAAATAAAAGGCGAAGGTAACTGAACTATCAGTGAGTTCAAATCTGTTTGAGAGATGGATGCATGAGGAGGTAGATAGGCAGAGCAGACTGTAATGAGAACATTGATGTGAATTTGAACTATGGTAGCCTGTAATGAGGTTGATAATGAGAGGTGAGTTGATGGAAAAGCTGATGAAGTTAAAATTGCTACGCCGCCATGAGGTTGATTTCCATCATTAAAATCCTGCCGATAGCAAGAATAGTTGCGCAGTTTAAAAGTATTAGATGACGTTAAATGTGTCTCCTGCAAGGCAATGAATGCAGGTTGATATTTTGAAATAATGTCCTTGACATCCGAGACCTTATTTCGCAAACCGCGACAGTTCCACGATACGAAACATATGGACATTATGAAATAAGAAAAGATTATTGAAAGTTAACGTCATTATCCAGAGGTCAATCGAGTAGGCATTCGTCGTCAGAAGGATGCAAAGACAATTCTACCTCACAATCCATCTTCTGTAAAGCAGAAGAAGTGGATTGATTCGCAAGTTGAATGTACTTTGCATCTTTTTTCTTCCTGGAATAGCCAGGCTTTTGACTTAGGGGTAATTTTTTTAAAGGGATTTGTTTTGGAAAAGGTCGGACCTTTTCGGAATTGTCTATTTTAGATGTTTTGCTAGGTGGAGGTGAGGTGGTTCTATTAGATGTTGATGCTGCGGTAAAGTTAAAGTTAGGTTTTGGAGTTGGTGGTTTAATCTGTTTATTTTTAGTAGATGTTTGTGCCGTGGAATCAGTTTGAGTACCTATAGTACAATATGAAGTCTTAGCAACCGTAGAATACGAAACGCCCGGACGGGGTGTACGGGCGGTAACGATTCGACGGGCTTCACTAAAGGTTAAGTTTTGCAATACTTTCACTGATTGAATTTCTTTCTCCTCTGACCATCTGGGACAACTCCTTGAGTAAGCTTCATGAGCTCCCTTGCAGTTAACACAAAGGGGTTGCAACTCACAAGAAGTGTCTGAATGGCCAGGAGTAGAGCAGCGAGCACAAACAGGTGTACCACGGCAAGATGCTTTTGAATGCCCAAACCTTTGGCACTGAAAGCACCTCAAAGGGTTTGGGACATAAGGTCTGACTGGACAATTATACCATGCAAGTTTAACAGCAGATGGTACTGTTGGAGAGGCGAACGTAAGGATGAGATGTTTCGTTGGAATGAGTTGTCCATTCCTTCGAATCTTAATCCTACGAACCTCGACAACATGCTGGTCTTGCAGGTTTTCCAAGATCATACTTTCTTCGTCATCTATGAATTCAGCTTGAGATATTACTCCACGACAAGTATTCAGAGATTTGTGCGGAGTGACAGTTACATTAAAGGAACATATAGTTGTAGAATTAGATAGAGCAGTGGCCTGTTTTTCGGATGTCGTTTGCACTAAAAGGTCGCCGGAACGAAGTTTTCTCACAGAGGCTACTTCTCCCAGTGCGGAGAGAAGAGCCTTGTGTATTAAGAATGGTGAAACCTTAGAAAATGATGTGTTTGGTATGATAGGATTTGTCAATGTTATAATGAAATAGCGAGCGTATACGTACGGTGTAAGAGTTGTTCCGCTGTTTTTGCAGTGGTGTGCGGAACTCAACACCTTTCCATCTTCAGCCATAGAAAATTTAAAACATTTCCACTATTAGCGACACCACCCACCACGGAGTCCAACTAAGGGGATGTAAATATCAAACTGGTGTTGCCACCAATCCGCTATTTAACAACGGTGTTAACTAACAGCTATACGTCCGAGAGTCACTCCTGAAGCAGCCTCCACCCTTAACGAGGTGCCCAGTAAATGACCCCGGACTTGACCCTAGCCAACAGATGATATTCGTGGCTAGCCGATTGGTGCACACAGGCCAATATGCACCTCCCGTTTACCTGAAGCAAGGGCCGAAGCAGTGTATTGGGGTACCAAGATGCCCCTCAACTGCCAGGATCCCCTTTTCCAGGGACACGGGTCTCCACGCACGGCAAACACGCGGGTGGTCTCTTCCCATCTATGTCCAACACAACAGAGTGGTAATCAAACACAGATGACAAGCACTCACCAGTAAATTCGGCAACCACGACAAGGGGGAAGGGAAAGATGAAAGTAGGAGTAGAGGGAGAGGAAAACGAAGGGAGGACAGATCACTAGGGTACCCCGGGGCGTGACTCCCTGTGCTTACCTAAAGAAGGTAAACCCCCTCAGGGGCGTAGCAATTTTCGGGGGTTGGCGAGCGTTAGCGAGCAGGGGGCGCAGCCCACTAGTAATTTAAAAATCAATGTAGAATTACTTCATAATTTATAGACACTAAGCAAACTCTCAAGCCATAAAAATGTAAATTGACTCAATGGATTGAACACGTTGCATCATTAGTCTTTTATCAGTTAAATAATAAGGTATACTTTCTCAGCTATTGGTTTTGATGAATCTGCATACTTTGACATATTTTATTTAATCTTTATTCTACTAAGCTTTAGAAAATTTGGTATTTTCCCTTCTAAGCTATATTTATTATCACCTTTTGTCCATAGGTAGGTAGGTACTTTATTTACGGGCACTAGAGCTGCACAATAGGCTATTGGAGATGGCCAGGGAAACATCCCTGAGGATAATCCGAAGACATGCCATCGCAATTTTGATCCTCTGCTGAGGGGATGGTTCCCCTACTGTGGCAGCTCGACGACCTGCGCTGGAAGTCGAGCACTTTACGGTAGAACAGTTAAACGAAGCAAAAGCAGAGTCAGTTAGAGTTTAACAGTACACCGCACACCCTCGGTCCCTACGTAGGCTGATCAAAGTGGTCACTCACCCACTTACTGACCGCAGTTAGTGATGCTTGCATTCATTTATTTCATAATGCATTCATTCATTTAAAATTTTTAACATGATTTTACTAAAAAAGAAAAATTCAATCCTGACTTTTCTTGATAAAACTGTAGGGTGATTCAAGTCGGAATGATAATTAGAAAGTATAATATATATTCAGGTTTTAATTATTAATACGAATACAATTATGTGGTACTAAGATATTGTATCGATACATATTTACGAAATAATTTTTTTATTCGTGTGAGCTCATGAGTTCTTATTCGGATGATATATTTAATTTAGAAAATTCTTTTAATTTATAAATATTTTTAAAAATTAACTCTGATAATTTGCAAAAATTATAATCTAAGCATTAAAGAAAGCACACTCAGTAAAGTGATCTATATACGATTGGATTTAAAATAGAAGACACTTTAAATTTAAATCGAAATTCAGCAAACCATTTGCTCTTTTTACATTTTTATTTAGTTTCTCAAATGTCAACCGGTAGCATCTTTTTACTTTCTATTTCTGATCATTATTTTAAATGTAAAAAAAAAAACTTTCATGCATGCTAAATTTAAGTTTTCTAGAGAAAACTGTTCTCATAAATCCTCAAGCGAAGTAACTCATCGTGCATTTTTTCAAAATAAATATAAAGATATGTAAGGTAATTTGATTCGATAATAATAGAAGTAAAAAGTGCATTTTGCTAGCAGTTATCTTTTAAAACTTCACTCACCTTCTGGAAAGCTGTACTTTGATAGACAAATTCAAGATTAATTTATTCTTTTAAGGAGGCGTAGAGATTTTTCGGGATGAAAAATAATAATAATTTTTTATTTTCATAAAATTGTTTCATCTAAGAGTTAGAGTATAAAATTATTTTTATATATAGCCGATGAAGCCATGGTAGCTCAATGAATTGAGCGCTAGCCTTTCAATGAAGTGTCCTGGGTTAGAATCCCCAGCGATAGAAGGGATTCCATAGGAATGCTACACCCGGCTTGCACCGACCACAGTGCTGATGTAAAATATCCTCAGTGGTAGACTGATCATAAATTAGAGTCTCCCAGCCATCGGGCTAACCATTAGAAGTTTTCGTTATTTTCTCATTCAAGTAACGCAAAATGCGGGATCGTTCCATCAAAAAGTCCTCCACAAAAGTTAGTTTGTCCCAATGCTTGATCCAGGAGTTCCCTCGTCTTTTTAGAGGTTCAAAATTACAAGGCGGAGGTGGACATAAGTAGTCATAAAACTAAAATTGGATTGGTGATTGGCCACGAACATGTTGAGATGGAGAGTCACGACGTTGGCCCCATGCACCTTTAAGTGAAGAAGTGTAAGAGGAAGAAATAACAATTTCATCGGATATCATGCATCATGATGTGACACAGTAGCTCGAAATTAACATATCGGCTGATAAGTTTCCGGTCTGACATACAGATGGGGCCCTAAATGCAGAGTTAGTATTTTGTTTAGCAAGTCCTAACCTTCAAATAAAAGGTGTCAAAATTTTATTACGATCTGCAGATTGATTTTAAAGTTAGTGATTTTAATCGAACACCAATTTATATTATTGAAGCAATGGATAAAAAAGAATTTCGTGTTCTTATTAAACATTGTTATTTAATGGGAAAAAACACGGTAGAAACTAAAGCTTGGCTTGATAAGTGTTATCCGGGTTCTTCAGCAGGAAAATCGACCATTATTGACTAGTTTGCTGATTTTAAACGTGGTCGTACAAATGTTGAAGATGCGCCACGCTCTGGACGCCCTAAAGATGATGTTAATCCGGAAAACATAATAAAAGTCCACCAAATTGTTATAGAAAACCTCAAAGTGAAGTTGCATGACATAGCTGATACTCTAAATATATCAAAAGAGCGTGTAGGCTTTATTTTGCACCAACATTTGTTTATGAGAAAGCTGTTTTCGAAGTGGGTGCCGCGTAAGCTTAACAGTTGACCAAAAACAACAACGAATTGATGATTCCGAGAGCTGTTTGATGTTGTGTCAGACACCCCCTATTCACCAGATTTGGCTCCTAGTGACTTCTACTTGTTTGCAGACTTGAAAAAAATGTTCTCGGGTAAGAGATTCAGCACGAATGAGGACGTGATTGTCGAAACAAACGCCTATTTTGAGGCCAAAGATTAAAATCACTGTGACTTTAAAACCAATCTACAGATCATTATAAAATTTTGACACCTTTTATTTGAAGGTTAGGACTTTCTAAACAAAATACTAATTCTGTATTAAGGGCGCCATCTCTATGTCAGACCAGAAACTTATCGGCCGATGTGTTAGTAGTGTTCAGCAGACGAGTCTATATATTAGGATGTTCTCATTGTGGGGAACCGCTCACTATTAAACATATTTTAACCAAGTGTAACAAATTTAAAACTCAAAGACAACGTCGATTTGGTAGCTTTAATCCAATATTGACTTTATTAATTGGGGATAAACCCCACAATAAAATTTCTAATTACCTCAGGGTCATTGGTTTTTACAAATCAATTTAGTTTCAACTTATAGTAGAATGTTTTTTATAAGACAAGTTGTAGGTGCGGTACGGCCAATAATTGCTTTTGCGCCAATAATTTTTCATAAACTAACGTGTGTAATAAAGAGTTTTTGCAATTCTTCGCCGACTTCTAGTGAATCGTTGACAGATGATGAATAATGTATAATGATTTATTAATTCAATTTCCTATTCTTCATGCTGATGTGGGTAGAAATTTGAAGAATATAGTGAACTGTCGAAGATTAATGAAGCTTACGAATTAAATCGTTTGAGAGCAGATTTCTAGAAAAGCTCTGACAATCATATGGCTTCACGACAAGAGAAAAAAAATAAAAGAATCTTGAAAAAAAGTATAATGTTTGAAAGAATAGATTAATATTAAAGGTCAGTAGGGAGCAAAGCGCTTTATTTCTCTTCGTGTTTTGTTTATTGCCTTTAATTCATTTGTAATAGTTCTGTCCCATGTCATTTTAGGTCTGTACCTCTTTCACAGGTAACACTAAATGTAATGCAAACTGAAGTTGTTAAGAATATGCTAGTGGTCATTCAACAGTACATAATATCAAAAGCGAATTTAAACGAAGTTTTCATCATCCATATGCCAAGTGTGCTTACCGAGTTGTTTTAAAATAAGTAAACTACATATACTTCAGACTACAACACATACCAGCAATAACTCCAGATTAGCAGGACGGGAAAATTACCGCGGCCTAATTAACTTTAAGATGCGAACAATCTACGCATTCTTTCTCATTTCTTGATGTAGCATGCAAGTAGCGCTGTTGCGCCTGTCCGAACCTACCTCTTCACGGCTCAATAGCACTAGAGGTGGAATCGGCTTTGCCCCGTTTAACACTTTAAAAGTAAGCAAGTTGAACGAGTTGTTACTGTTAATTGCGCTAATTACCGCAATAATTGTCAGATAACGAAATAAATTTTTTTTAATATATGCGTTTAATTTGATAAGAAACATATTATTCCAGTTTGAGACTTCTCATATGGTTGGAAAGTTTTATTTCACTAATATCACAATTAATTAGAGTGATTTCCTATAATCACTTTGATAATTAAAAAATATCGAAATGAAGCTTTAATTTTCATCTCATAAAAAACACGTGTTCCAAAATTTTGGTTTCTAACTTCGCGAGAAGTGAGAGAATTAGTGATGAGTGAGTAATTTGCTTTTTATTAGGCTAATGACTTCAATAATAACAAAATATCGAAATGAAACTTTTTTAGTCTCTGCCTTTAGCTGATTAGCACGTAGTCAAAATTTGAGATTTCTATATTTGTGGCAAACTTTTATTTAGCCTAACTCTCAATTTGAGTAATTATATACACTGAGTGGCCAAATTATTATGACCACCACTTCAGAACGCCGTTGGGTCACCTTTTGCGCGTATTACTGCCTTAATTCGTCTATGCATGGATTCTATGGGATGTTGGTAGGTGGTAGAAGGTATGCCAGACCATGCTCGCTGAACTGCACTTGGCAATTCCTGCAAATTTGATGGTACTGGATCCATCTGTCTGAGAGCCCGTTCGATTTCATCCCACAAATTCTCAATTGAATTGAGATCTGGGGATTGTGCTGGCCAACTAAGCAAGTTAAATTCTCTGTCATGCTCTTCGAACCATCTGAGGACAATGCCAGCTTTATGACAAGGCGCGTTGTCCTGTTGGAAGTATCCATCCCCGCCAGAGTACACCATTGACATAAACGGATGTACTTGATCTGCGATGATACTTAAATACCCTTGGGCATTAAGGCGTTGTGGTACAGGAATTACAGGACCCATACAATACCAAGAGAACATTCCCCATACCATAACGTTGCCACCACCAGCTTGAAGTGTCGTGGCAATGTAGTTGGGGTCCATGCTTTCGTGCTGT